GTAGGAATGTGTGCAGTATGAGAGATGGGTTGTTAATATAGGATAAATGGCATGGCTGCTCAGTTGGTTGCACACTTTGGTGAGCTGCATACTGGTAACGTGATTGGTCTACAGGGAAACAAGCTAGGGGATAAGGGACGAGCTTCCCCCAGTCTGTAACATAATAATTATCATAGTCACTTCACTTCTGCACATTAATGAAGACATCTCTCCACATACTGTCTTAGCTGTTCCAGCGCAAGTGTACATTCCCATTTCATATACCAAGTAAAACAAGAAGGAGGTGTCGCGGAGAGGGAGATGGGTGGAGTGTTGGATGGGATGCTAAAAGAACAGGAGCTCCTTTCCGCTATAGGGGCATGATTTTCGATGGTGAAGTCCATTGCTGTCCAGAACGCACTTCGTTCCCATACATTTACCGATTACACGATTATCGTTCTTCAACCTCTGAATATCGTTTTAACCAGGGTCTTTTTGTTAGATTGGTGCTAATAATGTCGAGAAAAAAGGAAATTTCTGTAGAGCAATGATGTGCTCTGCGACGATGGGCGCACCGCCAGGTCCCTAAACCAACACAAAAACAGTGCATTGAGTGGTTCTTCGCTGAGTACAGCCATCGATTAAGCCAGACCACAGTCTCTGAGTCCTTAAGCAAGACATTAGCGAAACTCCACGAAGCTACAAGTACTACTGCGCTTCGACAGCGAGCTAGAAACTGGCCTGACCTTAAGAGTATTCGAGCGATTAAAGACGGCAATTGGGAGTATAAAAGAGGCATCAAAAGTACAAAGTAGCCTAGATAGCTGGATTAGGTAATCATATCCTTTAAAACGATATCCTCCATATGACGATATTTTTCACGGCCCCGATTTCATCGTCTTAACAGGGGTATGACTTTATTACATGACTGCATAAATAGAGCTGACTATACTTAAATATACATCCGCTCACAATAACAACTAAAGGTTAATGATAATTTACACATTCGTGGGCCCCATGATAATGGCAAAAATAAGACACAGTCCACATGAGAAGGAGACGGCTTAGACCACATATTACGCGGATAAAATTTCATGGATGGCAGAGGCATGTCTGGGTAACCTAGAGTTTTTGGGACGTTTCCCTGGGTGGGCATTCACGGATGAAGAAAAAGACACCATAACTTCGCAGTGGTACTTGCAAATGAAATCCGAGACATGAGTGCTCTTCTCTTACGTTGAGTCATTTTTTCTGTATCTTTTTAACGATATTGTGTCATAGCTAGATAGCTGCATATGCAATTAAAATCTGATGCAAAAAAATAAGCTCGCGCGGATTCGCTTCATCGACCAAGGGAGGTTCGCGGTGGTGGCACGAGCTCAGGCTGCAGCCAAAAGGGCCGAAGTGGCGATCATCGCCTCAGTGAAGAATGTTTCGATGGCCGAGGATTCAGTTTTAGGAGTGTTGGAATCTGGAGAAGAATCCTGATAGCACAGCGACCTCGACGATGCCTCTTTTGGTCTTCTACTAATCAGTAGCAGGATACTGGCTGTGTCAAAGGTGCCTGCTGTCCTCTCTCTTGCTCTCAGCAGAGAATGAGAAAGTTTGTCATCTAGAAGTTGTGATGGGCGAAGGTATGTGTGCGCAGCACATCACTTGGGTCCAGCATTTAGGAATCTTCTGTCTTTCGGAAATGTTTTGATTTTCGTGTTTTTTTGTTCTTTTTATTCGTTTCTGTTAAATCAGCTGCACTTGGGCAGCTATTCACGAGGTTGGAACGTTTTTTTTTTTGCATCAGATTTTAATTGCGTATGCAGCTATCTAGCTATGACACAATATCAAAGAAAAGTACAGAATAGATGATTCAACGTAAAGGAAGAGCACTCATGCCTCAGATTTCGTTTGCAAGTACCACTGCGAAATTTTGGTGGCTTTTTCTTCACCCCAAGTCAACCCTCATCCGTGAATACCCACCCAGGGGAACGCCTCAAAAACCATGAGTTATCTAGACGTGCCTCCATCATCCATCAACTTTTCTCCGCGCGAAATATGGTCTGAGATGTCTCCTTCCCAAGTGGAGTAGGTGCCCAGGCTACTCAAACCATACCAGAGAACACCACCAGGAGGCGGACCACAACACCTTCCATCGTTCACTTGTTTTTATAGTGCAAGCTGCGCTCCCGTAAGCCAAGTCTTGGCGCGCATAAAGCTCAATTTGTAAAACTCCTTGCCAAAATTCGATATTTCACGCCCGTTGAGACTGTATCCATCCTCTGCACCATTTTGTGAACTTGTCCTGATCCCTCTCACGTCTATCCCAAAGAGATATCTCCCAGATTTGTGCTCCACGCTTTGCTTCCTCCGTCGGGTATAAATATCGGCGTGGCCGTGTATTTGGAGACCGGCTGAGGCCAGAGAAAGTCGACGAGAGGTGTGGTCATTGAAATGAGGATGTACTAGGTCGTACTTGTAGACTTGATGAAGCTCAGTTGAGAATCGGACTCTTTGGGAGTGAAAGATTGACATGGTGGAGTAATTTGAATTTTTGCCTCGTGGGCCAACTTCTTTGATATTGCGAAATTTGACTGAACTTGGCTCTGGGAGAATATTTCACTCCCAGGTTCGTAGAGGACACCACGTACAGGTGTTCAGTCTTGCCCTCCGAGGTTGGAACGTTTTGTTTTGTTTTGTTCATTTACGTGCTGGGTATAGTGATTCCCGTTACACTCCTACTGGAGCTTAAGCACGGGTGGGACCGGACCGGATCAGGTTAACTGCCGTAAAGTACAGGTGCCTCGTCCCACCTAAATGACCGGAATACCTCAGAATTCACCCATGTGTTGAATTATGTCAAGTCCAACCGTCTAGAGAACCCTCTTTTGACGCGCTGAAGCACAATTTCCCCCTCAGCCTCGGCCACCACGTGCCCGAGCACTTGACATCCTCATTGACTCCGAAATATAAATTCCGTCCAATATTCCATCGTTGCTCTAGCCTTGCATCTTCATATCGTACCGTCGGGTTGTTGTCGTAATTGGGGATTTGTGTAATTCCCTCAGTGTATCTCCCTTTTCTTCCTCCTTTGTACACGTCCCGTTTCCATCATGACTTTCATCATTAGAGCGTGTGTAGATAGGTGATGTGACGAGTTTGGAGGTGGGTCGCAGGTGTAGAATCGACTGAGAAATGGATCGTCGCAATTATATAAGGAATTTGAGAGTTGTCGGATGTTTGAATACGATTCCCAGACAGACCTAAATCCATTCGTGAATCGTATGTTGGTGGTGATGAGATTTTGTTCGACTTTGTTCCGGCTGTGAAATCTCTGCCGACTGATTTTTCGACCAAAATATCGAGTGCAACCCCTTCAAGTCGAAAATCCATCGAATAAAATTCATCCCACTCTTTTTCGTGACTGAATCTCGGCTCTGGGGGAATATTTCACTCCCTGGTTCGTAAAGGGCACTACTGACAGGTGTTCAGCCTTCGACCTCCCGAGGTTGGAACGTGTTAAGCTGTAGGAAAAATTACATGAAACACTGCCGGCTTCACCGGCCCTTCACCCTAAGTGGATGTAGAGCATTGGCTTTGGACCTGTTGAAAGTAAATATAGGGGCTGGCCCCAATATGAAGCTTACACCTAATTGGGATTAGCTACTCCGCTTGAGCCCCTGCACAAGCTTACTGCAAACTTCACACCGTGGCAATGGCTGCAATGCTAACAACTTAAGCACGTAGGTGAGTAACCTTATATGGACTTCATACCAGTTTACACCTCATAAAACTAGCATAAATTGGGACGCTAGATACTCAAAGCAATTCTGGGGATTTAGGGTCATTATATATTTACTACGCGCAACAATTTTCTGCTTTAGTTTAGTTGTGAATAAATCACATCATGACAAAGCCGATCCTGTATCCACGAACTCAAGGAAATTCCGACCCGAGGTGTATGGAATTACAGTACTCTCAAATGCTAGTAGCAAGAGAGAGGCAATCTCGCAATATTTTATCTGCTTGAAAATTTCCCAAGGCACGCAGAACCTGTTTCGTCCTAGAACTAAATATACGTCGTAACTACAATTTTGTATGATAGATGAATAGTTTCAAGTTAGCTTTCATACCTGATGCGCATAATATTTGAAATACTAATACAAATATCAATAACACATCTCGGGCACGACTTTGTATCACATATCTGGCGTGAATTGAAGTAGGCATAATCTTTAGGGGAGAGGTGCCAGTAATTTTGGGAAAGTTGAGCAAACTAGCATACAAGAATTTGACACGGAGAAGTATGCTCCTCGATGGCCGGACAGTATTATAAGTGGCAATGTAGCGTAAACTGTGTTTTATCATGAATTTTACAACCAAGCGAGTCATTTTTTAGACCAAGCCCTCTAAGAAAATGATGATTGATATGAATTTTTTCCATATATTCTCCGTACAGTGTCGATTTCATTTAAGCCCAGCTTTTCTTGCTAATTCAACAACAAATGATGTGGAAGCATCTCAAATGACAAATAATCTTGCTCCAAGGATGCCGTTTCATCTATGCTCTGCACATCTAGTCTTTATCAGACCAACGTAGCTCTTAGCACTGCTTCATCCTCAGCTTAGATGCATTCCCAAAAATTAGAAGGTATGCACCTTTCATGATGAAGATCGAGTGATCCCGGGTCTAGTATGTAAATCAGGTTTAACCGAATTGAGTTGAATTGTAATAAATAGATTGGTTTATAAACATAAAGTTATTGATACAAATATCTAGTCGCCGCTTTCTATGCCGAGTCGTACCAGTCGTCAAGGACTTGTTGCTATGAATGACAAGTTGAAGTAAATTTTCCCGTTCAAATCCGGGTTGATCAGATCAACTTGAAGTAGATATTCCAAATTAAGTGAAGCCATAATTATTTTGCTATTTTTCCCACTCTTGAAGTATTCCTCGAAGTAAAGTATTATTAATATCATACTGAAACAAATTTATGGGCGGCATTAAATAACCTGAAATAAACCAAAGCCTAGGTCAAAAGAGCTAATCTACCTTCATGGCTAAGAACCTCCAGCATGTTACCAAGTGCCTTCATTGGAACAGGTTTGGTAAGGAATATATCGATACCATTGCTAAAAGCTTCTTGTCGAGTGCTCTCATTAGCTGCACCAGTAAGAGCAATTAGAACAACGGGGTTAAGATTATTTTCTCTTTCATATGTACGAATATTTTTGCTAGATTCGATACCAGACATGACTGGCATTGATATGTCTACGAAGAGGTTTAGCTTCAGAAAATATAGAAGAAAAAATCCATACCCATAAATATGGCATCAAATTTACCCGTATATTCTTTATAAGTATTCAGAGCTTCTAGACCATTAGTAGCCGTGGCATATGCTGTCTTGAGCTTTTTCATCGTAGCAACTAGTAGTCGGAGATTTATTTTGTTATCCTCAACAAGCAAGACACGAATATCTTCACTAATCATAGGAGTTTGGTCCTTTACTGGAGAACTTAATGGATGAGAAATAGTCGTTGGTATTGATCTCTGGGATATACTGAATGATGAAGTGGTAGAGAATATTGGTGGCGATAGTTCTTTCGAAAGTTTTGGAGTCATGTGTATAGAATGGTCTAGCGCAGTTTGTGGTGACCAAACTAATTTGGAAGATTGAGTGGGCGGAGGGCTACCCATAGCCTGGCCCTGCGAGGGCATATCTAGTTGATGAAGAGTGGCGTCTTTTGAGTTGCAGTATTCTTGAAAGAGTACCTTGGCGATTTTATGTGGGCCATATCTTATCTTAATTAGGCCTAGTGTAACAACAGGAAAGATAATACTTACGACTGATGAAGGTAGAAATATCTAAAACCCATCATTTTAATATTATTAGTATTATTTGGACATCTATTTGTGAGGATCATAGCTACTTTCTCTCTATTACCCTGTTGGTGGCCAAGTGTATTCAGAACACTCTGAATCGGCCTGTCATTTAGGCCACCCTCTAAAATAACGAAAAGATCGGGTGGGATCTCTTTCTGGTCAGACGCAAGGATCTGTAATCCAAACCAATCTTGCAGACAAGCTTCTAAAGAATTTTGAAGTTTAATAATAGACATAATTTCCATCGAAAAATTTCCCGATGGTTCTTCCCTATGATCAGGATGTCGACTGAAACCTATCATCTGTACCTTGAGTCCTTCGCATCTGGCTCTTACTTCCATTATCATTTTTCTTTCGATAATTTTTTTAGGCACAGAGCTTTGTTTAAGTGGAAGACGAACAGTTACCTCAGTACCATTCAAAGGCTCAGAATGAATTACAATAGTACCACTTAGATCGTTGACGATAGCCTTGACGATACTGAGTCCCAGGCCAGCCCCTGTCGATAGAGTATCTTCCTGAGTGAAGGGTTTATATAACTGATGTTTGAGGAAGTTCGGAGATATTCCTCGTCCTGTGTCTTCGATCTTTAATATCAGTGTGGACGGTGGGAGGTCCTTGCTAGCTGACAAATCGTTATGATCTTCGACGTCTAGCGATATTGTGACAAATCCAGTGGAAGTATATCTAATGGCGTTGTCGAATAGATTCATCAAAATTCTTCTCCAAGCTCCTTTGTTAATTTCGTAGATCCAGTTCTGTCGAAAAGGAATTTTGATAATGACTGATATGGGGCAAATTTCTGGAGATAAATCTTGTGATATATGTTGATTGCCTTTAAAAAATACACTCTGAGTAAGGAAATGTCCAGCGTAGATGGTTTCAATGACTTCTTCGGAAATAATCGATATGTCGGTCTTGCCTGTTCTATCATCTGAACCATCTCCAATTCCAAATTTGTTCTTCGAAAGCCCCAATAAATTCTTCTCTTCTTTCCGCTTTGGATTAACTTTGGAAAAATCCAAAACATGGTTAATTGTATCCAGAAGAATCTTTCCTGAAGCATGAATATTGTTCGCCATATCGATTTGAAACTCACTCATCTGCGTATCTTTTAAGAACTCCACAGAAGCAAGAACACCATGAAGTGGACTTCTTAGCTCATGTGAAATATTTGAGACAAAGTCTGCTTTCATCTTAGATAATACTTTGGCAGATAATCGGGAAATCTCTGCCATAGTACTGTTTCCGAAGGTAGCAAGGTATGTGGTACCTTGGTCTGAACTGAGGGTCTCCGTGGCATAATTCGACCAGATAAAACAGCCCGAAAACCAACGATCACAGTTCTGATCCCAGAGTGGAAGCCAGAATACACTTCGAGCCTTAGGCAAGATCGTATGAATCTCAGCAGCATCTATGTATTTGCTCAAATCATGTTGAGCACTGTGAGTAATTTCTTCCGGTTCTATTAGTGAGCCATCGTCACCAAAATTAAAGACCAAACCACGAGGATAATGATTTAGCATTTTCCTTAGTATTGATAATGGAAAGCCTAACAACTCATCAGGGGCGTCATGACCATGTAAGCTTGAGCTTATATTCGTACTAAAACCTAGAATTTCGCAGCAGCGCCCTGTAAAATCTGTTTCTGAAGTATGCCTACTTGTTTCATCTGCAAAGAGGCACAATGGATGCTTATTCCGGAGTGCCATGGAAGAAATCTCATCCATCTTAAAGTGCGAACTAGCACGGGACGAGCTATGAGCGGCGTTGAAGTACACGACGCCATCAATACTTATCGACTCCCGAATGAGATTACTTGCCCTAGCAAAGACCTTTTTTATATCGGATGTTAACGAAGAGCCGGAGGGTAAATTTAACTTCTCGCTCGAAGTAGTTTCAGATTGGACTTCAGTTTTCAGAATAAAATGTTTTTCAAAGCTAGGTGTGGTATCGGAAAAGTTAGAATCCATTGAGGCGAGGGAAATATTTCGCATTAAAGAGGGTCGCGAATTTAGCATGATCTTTTTTAATTTGGATTCAGAATGAGAATTTTTTAATTTGGATTCAGAATGAGAATTTTTGAATTCATTGGATATTTTCCTATCCCGACATATGCTGTGCATCTCTTTCACTGTAGATTCTTGTTTGGAAGCTTTGGAGCAAAGAGTTGATGATTTTGTACATATATTGTTGTAAAAATTGTCTTGCAGCAGATGTATGTGTTGTTTTGTATGACTAGCGGTACTTTCATGAGTCCTCGATTTTGTTAAGTCATTGCTTCCCATTTGTTTTTGATCTATTGCCAAATTCTGCTCGAAAGATTTCTTTGTCCAGACTTCTTCCTTGGTCTGCTTATCCTGTAAACTACTTCCTCCTTCGATGAATAATCCGAGAGCTTTTAACATCTTGTCCGCTTGGTGCTGCACACTGTTTAAACATTCTCTCTCGAGGTAATCAGTTATCATAGTAGCTGTGTCGAGCAAAAATTCGATTTCGGCCTCTGTCGTACATTCGCGAGGCTTATTATCAATAACTATGTATGTCCCAATGATAGCTCCATACTCTAGGCTTTTAAGTGGAACTATAGCCATCGATCTTATTCTATTCACAGTCATGGTAAAATGTTGAGTGTATTTACTGTCTCCAGTAATATCGGCGATAAATATATGCTTAGGAGCACCTTGTGGCTGTTTGAAGATTTCTAAAAATTCATTGACTAGATCCGCTTGTTTATTTATCGCACCAACTCCATTCCAGAGCCCATCATTATAACCATCAGTTTTCCGGAGAGAAGGTCCAGTTCCAGATTCAGCCAAGACAAATATTGAGCCATTTGGATCGCATGTCGATAGTACGATATACCCACACTTGGCATTCAGTCGGAGGACGCCCAACTGTGCAAATGCTGTCAAGCATGGGGCGCTGAGCATTCCACGCACATTTTCGAATGGGTATTCGAAGTTAACGGGTTTATTTTGTCCAGACATGCGAAGCAAGTAGCTCAATCTCTGCGAGATTGAAGGCCTAAGAGTGGACAGCGTGGCGATATAGCACTATCTTTCGACCTTGGGTCGAAAATGAGCCCGACACAGCGATCCTTTTACACTCTAGTTCATGACCTTCATTGTTGGTGCTGCTGCTGCACGAGAGAGACTTGACAATACTTTGTCGATAACTGCATGTTCCGAATACAACATTACATTCTACTTAAGCTAGCCAGTGCCGGGGTTTACCGCATACTGGGCGACCTTGTTGACAACAATGATGCTCAGCTGGGATTGTGAGTGAAAAAGTTGTCTAAACACATGGCGAGGCGTGAATGATTAGGGTTTGCTGGGGATAGGAGTTTGGACAAGTTGATTGCGGATGGCTGGAAAGCGCTGAGACGGAAATTTGACAAATTAATGGCAATGGCAACTTCGGTATCCGAAAGACAAACTTATTTTATCACAGAAGGAACAGCGTCACTGAGTGCTCTTTATTCGATTAACATTACTGCAGTTCTAAGGTCAACCCTACATGAAACTGTATCCTCGGGTTAAGTTGTTACATTTCGTGTAAAACTATGCGATCACAAGATCATCGGCGCAGAGTTTTCAAGTCTAAAGAATCTGGCAGTTATTAATTGTCGGTAAAACAGATCAATTTGCAAAATTATACGCTCTGAATCGCGTAGGTTGAGCAGAATAGCAAATCATCTCACCTGAAAAGTCATAGTCCTTGAATGTTCGTAGTGAAATTTAGTCAGCCTGTCATTTACGCAAGCGCGAGCTTACAAGCATCATGCTGAGATGAACTCCGATCATTGCCTTGGTTTTCGTGGAGACCCATGGAAGGTAAATGTTGGAGGACGTGCGACTAGCCCCCTAGCTTCTAGTTTGCGCAAAGCTTAATAACACATTTAAGGTTCTAAGATGTATTTTGCGTTGACTGAACACCTATCAGAATTGTTACCTCGAAATCTTCAGCTTTCGCCTGCGAGATTTTAGAACTATGTCCGAGTCTCTCGTTAGCATGTGAATTTTTCCCTGCCTACAAGTCTATAGCACTCCCAATAAACAACACGGCACTAAAAGATTTAGCTAGGTTGTTTTACAGTGTAAACTCTGCCTCTCAAAATCCTTCCAACTTTCTAGCACGATGTTCACTTAGGCCTGAGGCGCACAAGAGGGGTGGAATTGTCAAGGGATCTCAAATCTCCAGGGTGTGCTTAGCCAGTAGACCTGTCGGGATGCTACAATAGAGTAGCGATGTCTCCAAACTTCATGTTGGTATCGGTATTGGATGGGCCTTGCGTATAATAATTCCCGAAGATTTTCTCAAGCGCTACACACCCGTAGAAGAAAACTTTCTCGTTGTTTTGAAAGGAAGGCAATGAAGGGCTCAAGACTTCAATTGCTTTAGATTAGATGAAGACCTGAAATGGCTGTTACCATTGGAATAGGGCTATATATGAGGCAAGGAAGGAAATATATTTAGACTGATGGTATCATTTTCCTATATATAGACCAGCATATTCTACAGAGTTTCAGGCAGAGATAAGAAAATTATCCGAAAAATATAGTCCTGGCTACCAGATGTTGAAATTATGAAAATAAAACGCACTGCAGGTCTCGCTGAGTCACTACTGTGCCCGCAACAAATTCTTAGTCCAAACCTATTTATAAAGACGTTCAACATCAGCCACTATAATTGGGTTACGCTCTGATTAGCCTTGTTTTGCAGCCGTCGAAGGGCCTCACGATGTGCATCCAGCAATTCGCCACTCCTCATCATTTCGTCCCAAGCTTCTTCTCTTGCACCCTTCTTTCGCTCCTCTGTCAATTGCCTTATTTCTTCTAATTTTCGACTTTCACGCATCATAGTCCGCTGCTGCTCAATGCGATCAGTTGGGGGCAAGGCTGCTTGAAGATCTTGCTGTACTGAGGCACGCCAAGAGGCTAGTTGATGTTCCCGTACTTGAGAGTTAATAACGCAAGATTTTCTTTGAGGCTGGTGCGAGTCAAACGTCTTAAGTACACTTCCAGATATAGCTGTACCAGACCCATGAGCACTTATGGCCAGCGAGGATGGCCGGGTCAAGTTATCCCGATGAGACAAAGGTCTATTTCTGCTATAATTAATATGAGTCTTACTAAGCGTATCCTCTGGCTCGCTACTTTTTATGCGTAGTCCTGCCGATGTTAATGGGACTGCTGGACCTAGATCCGGGGTGGAAATGCTGGGTGAAATTTTCTTGGTATTGCTATTTTTAATTATCGAGTCTCGTTTACTGCTCAAAGTATTACAACGGCTTCGAATAACATTTTGATGCGATTGGGGTGGTGCGGCAACAGCCCTCGCTTGATCGGGGAATTTAGATTTGGAATCGTTTTCGTGACCCATAACGGCCCCTGAGAGGTATGTGTGAGTCAATGATCTCCGCTTTCCACGGTACGAAGCTGCCGAAGATTGTGGTGATCTATTATTCTCCGACGGAATATTCCGTATATTTTCTTTTCTATGAGATCTCGTAACATTTGATCTCTCAACAGTGGCTGCGCTAGTCTTAACTTCAACAAACTTAGAGCTTGGTCTTTTCGAGAGAGAGCGTGGTGGAGAGAGAGAAAACGCAAAATCCTGCGTCTGCTGTAATTCTTCAAACTTTACAGGAACAGGTATTTCAGCCTTGTCAGATTCTGAATCTTCCGAATGGCCAATTAGAGTTAAGTCTTCAATATCAGGAGTTTCTGCTTGACTTAAATGTTTCGTCCACTCACTGGTACGGTGAGACATAACAACTCTTGAAAGCTTGGTAGGTAGACTATCCTTGGTTATTCCTATTGGTTGGGATGGATCTGTTGAAACCATAGATTTACGATATTCTTCATTTTCTGGACACTGTTTCTCTATTCCAATATTATTTATATCTACCTTTGGTTTGATACTTAACATCGAGGAAATCGAACTTCGTGGGCAATTACAGGTCTCAGAGTCATGTTCAGGCGTATGTTCACCTAAGTCATTAAAAGCCGGTCTCTCTAAATTAGATTCTTTTTGTATCGTACAATAGGAAGAGGAATATTTTCTGGTGACAAAACTTGTCTGTATTGGAGGAACCGATAATATAGCACCTGTACCTCTCAATTCCTCATCATCGCTAAGATCGTCAACCGTAGCAGCTATTGAGCTCCGTCTATCATCAATTTCATCATCGAAGGGAGTTCTAACAAAGCTTTGAATATTGGAATCCGATTTAAATTCAAGACCGTTTGACGTATATTCAGGCTTTGAGGACACTGATGTATTTTGCAAGAGAGTCGATTCTCGTGAAAAGTTGTCAGAATTTATCTCTTCCCTATCTAGTTTATCTTGATCACCGATGGTTGCTACTGTATCAATTGAGTATTGGCGCTCTTGGGACATAGAATTAATGCGAAGAATATTTGCAAATTTTGGAGAAGAGTTTGTAGGTTTTTCATCAGTAGTTGTCCTCTTTCTCATAACTTGAGATGCTTGAATTGTTGAGTGCCCTGCCAGAGTTTCTTCACTGATGCTACTGGATTTTTTTATTTTTTTATTTACTTCAGAACCATCAAAACTTGAGTTTGGTACCGGTCGCGTACTTTTCTCGTGTAAGATTTCCGCTCCTCTCGAATTTTGTGATACAGGAACACCAGAAGGGCTGATATTTGGTCGATCACATATTGATATACCGGCTGGGGAAGTAATAAGCTTGGTCATTTCAATTTCGGTGTCAGTTGGATAAGCGAGAGAGCCAGTTGTACTGATAGATCCCTTCTTAGTAGCGTACTGATCAGTGTAGTCCGACCTTGCTCGGGAACCAGAGAATTCTTTATCGCTACTAATTATAGCTTCCCACTGATGACCAGCTAGAGCTTCATTTTTTTCGATTTTTCTCCCCATGCTTTCTTCTTCGTCTCTTGTGTGCCTTTCATCCGGTAACTTTTCAATGCTTCTATGTTGACGACGCGCCTGGAATATGTCCCAAAGCTTCATTTGTGATAAAATACCGGCCAGAGCTATGACTAAGATGGAAGATATTTCAACCTTCATTTTGCGATTTAGTGCGTAGGATGCTGTATCAGGTGGAAACAAGTTAGAGTTGAGATCCCACAGAAATACCCAAAACTCTTTTAAGCCGGCAGTACTGAAGCAATCGATTCCTAGTATTATTGACGTTGCACCTCCAAATGATGTAAAAATAATCAAAGCATGTTTTTTGATTTGATGAAAGAATGAAGTTGCGAATGCTCCGGTAGTCAGAATAGATATGAGAATAATCATATTTATTCCTGTCAACAGTCCACCGCGCCGCAGAACCAAGAGCCACATACTGACACAGAATCCTCCCTGTTAAGTTGGGTCAGCAAATTTAATGGAGATTAGAGTATTAGGTTAATGTTATGTCAAAGAGTATGCACGCGTCTTAGGATCTGGAAGAAGAATAATTGTAGCTTACAAAGAGACAGCCCAGTCCTTCAGTTACTTCAGTAAATAGAATCGAAATATAGCCGAATATAAGACCAGTGATAGTTGCAGCAGCAACATACGCTACTTGGATAGCGCTACTAACTGGCAAGTTCATGAAATATAATATTAGAACTGTTACTGATATACTGGTGAGATAAGCAGCAGAAAAAGAGATTTGTAGCTTTTTGCATTTCACCCCAGTGAATGTGTAAACTGTACCGCTCGATATTAGAAGAATTCCAGTAATAGTGAAGGCGGACGTGATTTGCGGAGTAATTGGCGGATGAACTGGAGTTTGCTCATCTATGTTACATTAATAACCAAAGCCACATTAATATACATTACGTACAAGTTTGATCATTCTCGTTCAGTGGTGACGTGGATGTTCTAAATGGAGGTGTAACAGTTGAAGATGTGGGCAACATGCCAGAGATCGGGTTAAAAGTTGAGCTCCCGCCTGAGGCGTCATCTGAGACCGTCGGGATGTACAGTACCACTTCCACCTCTCCATTTGCGTCTGTTCGGCTGAAGGGTGTTTCTGACGGTAAATTTTCAGTTGACGTTGATGGTTGGGCGGTGATAACTAATGCCGCAAGTTCCTGCCGCACATATGCTTGGTACAACCGTCCTTCCGCGGCAAGTATATGGCATAGCAGAGACAACAGAACTATGACCAACTCTTTCAATCTTAGTATGCGAAGCATCTTCTTTTTAGCCGGTTCGATCAAAGCAAATATACGATACCGAGCCAGCGAAGTCTAGCAAACACTGTTTGCGAATTCAAGACGAAGGAGCGTTGCCTTGAAAGAAGGGAAGTTTGGGGGTAAGAAGCACCGCTGCATTTGGGCCTCTCGAAAATAGGCGTACCGATAGGATAACGGGCGTGAAGTTGGGCCCAGCCATGGTACAGATGAAGGAAAACAAGGAACAAAAAAATATGTCATGACAGGGGGAGAACATTGATGATGCATAGAACTTTTGGTTATATCCGTGGGGTATGGCGTCCCATGGAACCTGTGTATTCTGTTCAGTCAATCTTTCGCTGTTGGCTCCATAAAAATAGATGGGCCTTTAGGGCTCATGTAGCGAATGTTGTGACGCAAAACTGTTCGAAGTTATTTTTGGCTGGCCAGCCGTTGAGATCAAGGGTTGACAATTTCGCCAAGGTGACCACTCAGGTGCTTCAACGGACCCGGGCCGATCTTTCGAGGTGTAAGAAGCTAGATTGGGCTTCTAGACACCCAACGACAGTCTATGACTTAAATCTCGTTCGGCGACAGAGCTGCGAATAATTTCGGTGCATGTTTGACTGAATGGTAGGAATTGAATCTCGGACGACGTTCCGGGAAGGCAATTTTTTCGGGCGGCTTTTTTTTGGCATATTACGTACATTTGTTCCCTAAACGTCTATCGTTTGCGTCGGACCTTGCTAGAGACATGCAGAGCATCGTGCATGCGTCCAGATGAATTTTCCACAGGTGAATCAGCTCAAGCATGACAAGCTTTTTTACTGCCTATCTCCCGAAATCTATGTCCGCTGGATAGCATCGGGTGGAAGGCTAGGGTTGACTTAGCGTCCCGACCGTATCCCCTGAACATCATGGCACCTAGCCGCACAACATCAATTTCATTAGCCCAGTGTCTTATAAGGACATGTTGCGGATGAATGCCAAGAGCAAATGCCCGTTGTTACAGGTAGACTCATAATTGGCAGTGTCGGATAATTAGTCTGCCGGTCGAGAATATAGTTTTGGCATAGGATAAAAGTGCGATAAAATCATGAAACAGAAAATTCTAATGATAAGGCTCAAACAGATTCTGGTTTTAAGTACCAGCATCTTGGACTACAGACTTGTCAGTTGTAGGATAGTTCGAGAATCATCAGTTCTAAATACCGGATAGCCCGTGCGATAGCTCTAGAATTCTATTTGCAACATTCGACGTGATTGATTCTGACCCAAGATTGGCGTCTATAAAATCTGCAATGCGTCACAGCTAACAAATTTATGCGACTTACTTTCTGTAAAGTTGATGTAACCGATAATCTAATGCAGATTTATGATGAGCATACCGGGTGAGGAGCTTCGGAGGTAGAGTCTGTTCAACGTCCTCCACAATAATTTATTCCGATAGAATATGCTAACAACTGCCGAGTATGGAGATTATATTTTGGAAATTAAACGAATAAACGGTGTTCAGAGAGGTACGACCATTGGCTCTTGCACAGCCCGCGTGCAATACGTTACCCGTCTTCGCAATCGGCCGATATATTGGGTAGGCACTCTAGAGTAGTAAGTGACAAGGACCTTCGCCATTCGTCTCTATCGCATGGATCTCATTTCACTCGGACGACATATAGCCTAATGGGACGTCTACCATTAAGGATAGACTAGTTGTGGGAATACAGTATTTCTCGTCCTATCTTCGACCAAATTTGCTGAGTTAGTGTCATGCCGTCTTTGTCAAGCCAACTTCGATCACCGTGCCAACGCACACTTTTTGCAAGTGATACGACGTGTTAATATCTAGGCTAAAGTGAGCAAGCCAAAAATCCATCATTTCCATGAACAGTCACGGTCCATGAGAACGCTGAAGGGCTGATTGATAGTCCGGACAATGTAAATGGAAAGATAGCCCCTGTAGTTGATCCTTGTTGCCTTGCTGCCGGCTCTACTATTATAAATTCCTGACACGATTTTTGGATACTAGAAATACCTTAGCAATCCGTCTCATCATCATATTCATCCTTGCATAAAACTGTATGCTGCGAATGTTGACTCGTCTTTCTCGGCGCGAGTTGATTGCTTGATTCTCGTATCATCATGAGGCATAATTCGACAGCTCTGTAGGGCTGTCGGACGAATATGTGGGTGTGATTTTGCACAAGGCTTGTGATCGTCGTAGCCGCATCGCACATCCACTAGGGAAGACTTTTCTCCTTCTCTACATGTACTACCGAGACGGAATGCAGAGACCCCCGTTCAATAGTGGAGGCGTTCCGCCTTGTGGGTCACTCAGGATATTGGACGCCATGTCTAGAAGATTTGGCTAGGATCGCGACTCAATCGCGGTAGATTTGGAGACAGCCATGAGTCTCCGAGCGCCTTAGGGCTGCCATGGCGGGTGTCACTAATTTATGTCGGTGGTTCGAGTTTAAGGGTTATTATTCCCATTTATAAACTAGCATGCCAATTGTTGCGAACAGAATTAAAGATAATACCAAAAGACATAAGGGTACCAGAATGACCGGACAGGGGATATGTCTGTTTATTGTACTACCTGATTTGGAGACTATCTAGCACGTTGGGCATCTTTCTTGCCCAGGCCACACCTTGTACAGTGCTCCTTGCCTCTCATGTTTCTTGAAAGATCATTGATATATTCCCCTTGATGAATAGCCATTCAGCTCAGAATCTACCCATAGAATTCGGCCACCTTTTCCACGGAACCTTCTACTCAAATAAATAAAAATGGTAGCAATGGAAACTGCGCGTGTGGGAAAATTCTCAAAAAGCCTGCAGCCCAAGCCAGGTGAGGCCTAGACACCGGGACTGCATGAGGTGCGCATATTCATCTATTTTTCCCTTCTTTGTAACATTCGAGGACATCTTGATCCAGTCCATCATCGCCGTATCGGGTACTGGTTACGCTCCAGAAAATCATTGAATGGCTTCTCCTCCATGATCAAGGATTGGTGATGAGAAAGGCTTCGACTCTACCATGTGATCTGATAATGATTGGCTTCATGATAACGGTCACAGGGGAGGGTGTTGAGAGATGAACACGATACAGACGGCGAAAGCGAATGGGAATACTTATCGAAGTGAAGACGTGATTATTCAACCTCGGCTCTGCAGACTCGACAGTGAGAGCTAGAGGTTCTTAGGGCACACCAGTGACAGGTGTTCAGAATAGTCCCTAGCTGGTACTTATACTTTGGGCATTAGCCACAAATTTATACTAACTTCTGCCTTTTATATTATCGAGGTTTGTTTCAATTACATCTAGCAGTTGAATGCTGCTCCAAAATCTGCTTACTGATGATTTTTGCTACTCACATAGTTCCAAAAAGTACATAATTATCTAATTATTTAATCCATTAATTTCAGCGGACCAGAATCTGCAGCAACGAAGGGGTGAGATACAAACAAAAAGAAGCAGATATGATAGATGCATTCCAGGAGTGGGAAAGCGCATGAAAACTTTTAAAGAAAGAGAGACTTTCATCTTATCGGACGTCGGCAGACTCAGAACACTTGAGAGCCGCAAATATCGTCACCGACAAGAGAGGGGCAGAAAAAGGATCACCTACAAATAAATGCCCTCTAACATCCACCAAAACCTTTATAGGAACCTAAGTAGTATCGAAATACAGATGAGAAGTGAGCATATCGGCTCCAGCTCTTATTTACATAGAAGATTACATAGAAGAAAGGTCCCCGAGTGGAAATTCCACAATATCATTGTAAATATTCGTCGCAAAACGTCAAACATATGATCTTGGCCTCTTCTCAGTGGGCTAAGGGACGAGGAGAGTTGCTGTGATAGGTAAAAGTAGGGATTTTCAAGCTATATTAAACAGCCCAGATGATATGAAGAGAATTACAGATTGTATACGTAGTAACGATGGCATCAAATTTTCCTGGTGAACCAGTAATGGGTATCACACCATCAAATTAAAGAAACCCCTAATAAGAATGGAAAAGATAAGTTGTATTTAAATTGTCTGTCCTACATAGTTATAAACTCAAATAGGACATAAATGGATTATTATAATAATAATAATAATAATAATAATAATAATAATAATAATAATAATAATAATAATATTATTATTATTATTACGTAGTAACGGTTGGCTTGAAATGTTCCGGCTCGCAAAAGAAGTTGAGATAGCAGTTAAGAAAAGGATGAAGCGATCAGGAAAATGATAGGACAGAATTCACACTAGATGAACAGTGTAAGATCACTCCCTGAAGGAGGGCCAAGAAATCTGATAGACATGAGACAGAAAATTTTGCGTCGTTTTCTAGCGAATTTGATTTTCTACTGTGTAAATATCTCAGCTATGGTTGTGATGGGCATGTTATACAGCTAAGATACTTGCATGTACATAACATGATTAGATATTTACGCTATTTGTGTAGTTCCTGTATCGTTTGGGATATCTGCAGGAGGAAGCTCATGTGGTCAGGAGTCGAACAGCGGCTGCACATGAGTATAAGTAGCGAGTGCTCGGCACACGATTTAGCATAGAACAATTAAGTACAGCGTACCTCAGGTACACCTTCAACCACCACCTGAACTCATCGATCTACATACTCGTACAAGGTCAGCATGCTTAGTGACACTAATCTAAGCTCATAACCACAATAGCTATATATACCTGCATGGGCCCATTGGGTACCTGAGCGGGCGATATGAAATCCAATAATCCATTCATGCAGGATCCATAAACCCCATATAGCCGGCAAAGACGAATTCTTCACCTTCTAGTGGTGCCAGTGGAGTCGCTCAGTATTCTTTGTATATCTGGGATAGCCAAGAAGAATCGCATCCGAATCGGGGTCGAGAGCAACCTCAAGCATATCTAAAATCGATGACTTCTTGTCATTCTCACGCGAGTCCTCTACTTCAATCTTACTACTCCACCCCGCCTCAACTACCGATAATGGCGTTACTCCAATTGCAATCGGGCAATTTC